GTGAGAGGTCCCTGGTTCGATTCGATGTAGGGGCTTTTTAATCGTTCACATCATGGCCATCTGCGGGTCCCCACATGCTACGCACTCAGCGGTCCTCGTCGTATCGCCGGTAACAGCAGTAGGACGTTAAACAGGCGTAACAGAGGCGTCGGGGTAATTCCATACCACATTTCGTTCACATCGTGCATCCGTTACCCCCTCAGATTGTAACTTGCTATCACGAAATATCGAAGGAATGGAACTCCTTCCGTCCTGTCAGACGTGAGCTCTGGCTTCCCAAACCGTATCGTGTTCTCAGCTGCATAGGAGGTGATCTATTATGCCGACTCACTTGCTTTATATTCTCTCATTGCTCAGACGCTGTCAGCATTTGTATGGACTGTCACCAAAACTAGTCGATTCTGTAGTAGAATCTACATCATCGCTTAACGTTAAAATTGATGCATTTTAAGGGCCTGCACATCTCCGTCAATACGAAGTCATCGGCCGTGGGCAAATCTGACGAGATCGTCGTTGTTGCTATTCGCAAGGCCGCCCCCCAATTCCCTAGACGATCCGAGGATGCTGGAAAGTTATTGCGAAAGTTGCCATGTAGATTTTCTCATGATCTTGTGTCGTATGCAGTATGCGGTTATTCTCGTGAGATCATGTTATACGTAGTGTGCGTGCTACACTCGCTGATAATACAGGAAGCCTACGACTTGCAACTCGAAGAGTTATTAGGCGTATTGCGATTCTTAGGAGTGGCATGTTGAGCATGATTCGTATCTTTGTACAGGATTAGTTGGATATCTCGACTCGTCTCGTCGAGCAGTGTGCTCCTATCTCGATACGAGAGTGATTATATCATTCACTGTCAACTTCTCAACGACTCGACTGTCGGTAGCACATCATGCTTTGGGTGAGTCCGTGTTGGCGATGGGCTTGAGAGGTATTTTATAGGTACATACTTACCCGATGATCCATACCGTAATCTCACGAACGTTGCTCCATTTATATGGTGCTGCATCTTCTTCGATGACTCTTGTAGTTGAGAATTAACATCTGTGTCATCAAATCCGATGCTGTTATATATAAAACTGTCTGTCGTGTTCCAGCTCTTCAGATTGGGAGCATGTATTTTACGCACAGCGAAGATTCTTTTTGTTCACTATTAGTCTCGGTTCCCCCCTCGATGGGCTGTTTCTGCAGTAGAGGTCCTCTCCGGAACAGCGGGGATGAGCCCCACACAGATGCAGTGAATGACGCCTCTGCTTCACAGAGGGGTGGTCGGACGAAATCGGGTCAGATTCAAGCAGTTGTAGAGGCTAAGTGTCGGCAAGCCTCTCAAACGAAGGTTCTGGTAAGTAGTAGTAGTAGTAGTAGGAGGTGTAGTAGGCGTATTATTCTCTACCGTGTTAGGCCCTACGGGAGTGTGCTTTACGATCACTTCCTGAGGATGCTACCGAGATGGAAGATCTACGGACGCTCGATCTGGCATTCAATCGGCTTACGAGTTTACCTAAGGAGGTTGCTTGGCATGCTAGTCTCTTGAAGTTGAACCTGAGTTCTAATCAATTGAGGGAAGTGCCCTCTTCACTGGTTTTCCTTTTAAGTAAGAATCGGACCTCATTCGTATCCTTGATGGTTGGACCTAAGATTCTTTTACTCAGAGTTGCAGTCACTGCAGTTGCAGGACAACAAAATCGAGAAAGTCGGAGGTTATGCCTTTCCGGGCTCATTGGTGGAGCTCAATCTGTCGAATAATAAATTAAACCACATTGGAGAGGAAGTTTTCGGTGAGTGATTTTGGAACAAACTATTTCACGCTTTTTCTATCAGAAACGCTTAATGCGCTAGCTGACGTCGACCTGTCGGGTAACCAGTTGCAGACTATCCCCACGAAGGTTCTGTTCCGGGTAGCCAGCAAGACGTTAACCACCGTTAAAGCAGAGTGCGTTGAGGAAATGCAAGTGGTGCAAGATTCGTCTTAATTTCAGACACAACAAAATCACAGATATTCAGTGGCCTGACGATGGTGCTGATGTTCAGCTAGATCGGCTCAGGTGAGGCTGGGCGGGCTGGCTATGACGTATGGAAAATTAAGAGTAAACGAAGACTATGCATCGGAGAACTAGATGGGCTTACTTTCAATGAAAACTCGTATCATTGTTCATAGACATGCTTAAATGAGGAGTTGTTTTCCTCAGGGAAATGGACTTGTCGTACAATCGTCTTTCAACTGTTCCCTCCGAACTCTTCACCAACACAGCATTGGTTGATCTATGGCTGCAGGGCAACAATCCTGATCGACTCAATAAGTATCAACTCTGGAGAGGAGGAGGTGTTGGAGTTGGATAGTCGTATTTTGTAGGTATACTATTAAAGAGATTCCTGGCTTCGACGATTATGTACAGCGACGGAAGGGTAAAATTGACAAGCGAATGAATAGCAAGGGAGGTAGCAAGTTGAATTTGGCCATGTGCGGCTTAGAGTGATCCGAGTCCACTATGAATGCAGCAGCAGCAGGTGGTCGTCGACTCCACAGTTGTGTAGTATGACCATTGTTCAGTAGTAGTGTGGTTTCCGCAAGTTGACAGTAGCTGCCGCTACGAGCCATTCTATGTTGCCATTAGTACTTATGCTCTATCACAAGGCTTTAGTTTCAAGTCCTGCTGACTCAATGGGAAGACAAAAGTTTAATACGGCATAAAAGAATTAGAAAAAACCGGAAAACATTCATTCGGCATCTTCTATTTTGCTACTATCTACCACGTACGTGTCATAACTGGTAACTGCACTCGTATGCCATCCATACGGGGAGTCAGGTCTCGGCCCCACACGGGAGATACTTCTCTACATCTTCTCTCGATCAAATGAAAACTGTTGATCAATTTAAACAGATTCGAACTCTATTTGGAAATCGTCACCTGATTTCCAACATGGTTCAAGACATCATAATATTTGCGACAAATTTGAAGTCGTCGTTCAAGTCGATTCAACCGCGAGCAATCAATTTAGACCTTTGTTCACTCATGTTAAACTCGTTGTGACTTCACGCCGAATTCAGTTCATCTGCTGAAGGCAAGCCTCTAAAATGACCATAGCCAGAAAGCAATCATATTCATCGTCCAAAACATCATTTTGATATTCAAGATATGGAAACCATGTATGCATCATGATTCACACACGATGTAAGGACGCGCAGACCCAGAGAAATGCCCGATGTAACGTCTAAGGAACTCTTGTATGCTCTCTACTGTGAAAAAGAAGTGTATTGTACGAGATCGTACAGTAGAGGTAAAGAGTTATCTTACAGCCTTCAAGGTGTTTAGAGGCTGCAGATTGAAAAGATTGCATATTGTCAATATGCTGAACACAGCTTTAAATTGATTGGCATGTTTTTAAAGTGGCGAAAAATTTAATACAGGTTGAATTGTTAACCTAGGTTAACTACCGATGCGGATGGCCGCGTCGCTACGCTACCAATTCGCACTGCAGAGATGTAACCGTGAGGCGAGACGATATTCTCCGTATGTCATAGCATGTGTCAACACGACCCGACATTAGCTGGAGAGATGCGACCCAAACGTACACTGAGACCTTGAGCCAAGATGGCTACGGACTTAGGAGCTAGTAACGCTCAATGCTCAAGATCAATAGTACGGAATGTATCCGATGCTCACACTTGTACGCAAGCACAAGGAAAAAGTCTGTACGCATGTACAAAAAGATGACGCTCTCTGCCGCACAGACTGGTCGAGCATCAATAACGGGCTGAAGTGTTTTATCCCAATCCGACCACTCCCGGCAGCAAGTACCGAAGAGTGTCGTTGGCACGCTCGCTGAGTGTCGTCACTGGAACCCTTTATGTCTCTGAGCGCCTTCATCGATACTTCTAGGGTCGATTCGTATTGAACCACCCTACGCGATCAGGGGCGGGATATTTAAAATGAATATCCATTATATTTTGGATTTGAAACTTTTCATATTATCGAACCTCTCGGAGACGCAACACACTTGCTACAACCATGAAGCTCGGGTGGGCCCAGCAGAAGGGTAGACGAAACCACGACGGCCCGTCGCTAAACCTCCGTCACGGTAGGAATAGAATTTCGGGCGCGCGCTTTTGTCGTAGTGACGCACCTTGCATTCTTGGAGTGTCTGAACGCAATTTAAGACTCTGCACGCCCGCGTTCGCCGTCTTCTTCACTCACCTTGATAGTTGTCTCGGCCACGTTTAACCTAAGTTATGTACTGGAGTGAGCAGGACCATCTTCAACTACTTCT